TGTGTGGGCCGCCGAAATTGATAGGGTGCGGGACTGGATCCAAGCACCGGAAAGCCACCTTGCCCTATAGCGACGAGAATCCGAAAACCAGACCCCATTAGCGCAGGCATCTGAGAGGTTCTGACAACTGGCAGGGCCTGGAAGATGCTTCCATCCCTTTCCTGTCCCCTTGCCCTCTGACTCAGTTTTTCCTCTAGTTGGTCAGAGATCAGGGTGGGGAGGGGGAAAGTTGGTCCACGGCCTGCTTCTGGACACACCCTCCATAGGAGATATTAGCGAGGGAGGGGAAAGTCATTCCCAGCATCACCCCTCCCCCTCCCCGTCTGCTATTTGTTGTGGCCTGAGGGAAGACGGAGCTGAGTTAGCCTCTATCGATCCTGATAGCAGATCGATATGGTAGCCTAGGAGACCGCCTCCCTCCAGGGGGGAAAGAGCAGCTCAGGGCGTGACCCTATTCCCTTCCTTCCCATCTCCCCCATGTCCCCTTACGGTCCTCAAGCCCTATATGGAGTCCCGTGTGTCCCCTACTCTCCTGCCCTCTCCAATTCTCCCCCATACTGGCCTCAGAAGAGATCCGAGAATGACCCTGGACAGCCAGGTCGGCGATGTTGACTCGGTTAAAGATTATATTTTCCATGCAGCCGCGAAAATTTTCCCGGTAAGCAAGGTTCTTCTGCCTAGCCCTGACTATGCCTCCTATAAACATCTGCAGGAAAATGATGCGTACGGGTGCCAGGGTGTCAGTCACCTCAAATCCCTCCAGTTGCCGTACCCACCCCAAGTCTAGGATTTCTACCCACCCAGGATCAGCAGAGCAAATTTCGCCCCAGTAGCATCCTAAATTTATACGATTTGTCACATGCACACTCAAACTCTCATGTTTACACACGTCATGCCCCAGCTCTATGGGTGTCCCCACCACACCCTTTCTTAAAATGGATCCCCTTATGTCTCTTCTCCACCTGCCCCCATTAGTATCCTCCAACCTCCTTCCACCTTCAGAAAGTGGGATTCTACCCTTGCCCCCCCCCATTCGTCGGTATTCCTCCCCCTTCTCCCCCCATCACCTCTGTGTCTAAGTTTAGCTTCTCAAAGTCTCCATTGAGCAGGAATCGCTGCACCTCGCCATCCAACGTCAAATTGACATCTCTACCAAAGCGATCCAGTCGCAAGTAGTGCCAATGCAAGTCATTGAGGACACCACCGGCGAATACAGTTGTATGGCCGGGGCTGGCATGGATAGGGTTGCTACCTGGAAGGGGGAGTGGGGGAGAGAAGACACGAACAGAGCAACCATGATGGCAGATACGAGCCAGAAAGACCTCCATTCAAATCCAGCCTTAGATATTGGGGAAGTCACTTAACAGCTCTGAACCTCAGTTTCCTTATCTGTGAAATGGAGATAACAACACTTACCTCACAGGGTCAGTGTGAGGATCAAATGCAAAAATACTGGTGAAGCATTTTGCAAATCTTGAAAAGATAAATAAATACTAGATATTATCATTAACTGTGTTCACATCCCATTAATCAATCAATACATATTTATTGAGCTCCTAACTTTGTGCCAAACTTTGTGCTAGGTATTGAGGATACAAAGAGAACAAGAATTTAGAACTAGAAAGGACCTTAGAGATCATTTAGTCCAGCTGTGTCATTTTACAGAGGAGGAAACTGAGGCTCCGAGTAGGAGCCTCCTACAAGGAAATAAGGCAGGATTTTAACCCCAGGTCCTCTAACTCCAAACCTCACGCTCCTTCCATGACACCTCACTTGTTGCCTGGACTAATTGGGACCATGAGGTTCCTAGAGAGTGACCAAAAAAAAAATGTAAGCAAGAGGTCAAGGTCAGAATTGAGTGAAAAGCAGAGATTTGGTTTTGGATAAAGGAAGTTGCATGAGAAGTCAGAAGTCAAATGTGACCAGTCAAAGCTGACATCTTCCCTAGGTCACCTGGAGAAGAGACAGCTTCAACTGTTCTGGGCTTAGAGATAGGGAAGCCAGTCCTGAATGGGACCCCTGGCGGTAGACTCACCGAGGCTCATGTGCATCCACAATTGAGCATTCTTGAGTTCCAGAGTCACATAGTCGCCCTGAATCCCCTCTGAATGCAGAAGGAGCCCTTCTTTCTCCTCTGTCTTAAAGCTGAAGGCGATGACATCCCATAAGGTTCGGCTCACCCCCTTGGGGAAGCGGTAGGAGAGAGCATCATCCCCATCAAAGTATAGCACATCTGACTCTGAAAGGAACAGTAATAGCTGACTTCATCTAGCACTGGAAGGTTTACAATATGTTTTTTGGGCCTAATCTTGGACCCTCACAAAGACCCAGTTGAGATGAGTTTGATCCTTTTTACAGATGAGAAATCTGAGAGGTTTAAGGAACCCATCCAGATCATAGAAGTATGTATGTGTCAGAAATCAGCTAGGAAGCCTAGTCTGTCCTTGCTCCAAGCCCAGGGCTGTTTCAGCCCCTGGTCCCCTCCAATTCCCCCATGCTTTTTCTGTTCCCTGACTGTTGGCACTCCTAAACACTGAGACCCAATCCACTGTCTATACTCATCCCCAGCTCCCACCCAGAGGCTCCAGTCACAGGCAGGGAACTCCCAGTTCTCAGAGGCCTTGGGGCACTCAATTGAACCTGTTCCACTGAACTCTCCTTTGGTCATCCTTCCTTTTCCCTCTTTCCTTCCCCCTTCCCCACTAAAGCTCATAAGTCTGGAGACCCTTAGAATATTCGTTTCTTCAGTTCCCCCTTACTGTAAGGACATCCGTAGAGTCCAAGTCTCAGGCCAATCTTGCCTCGGGGGTTCCAGGCCAAAGGCACGATCCGAATGTACCTGGCAGTTATATGGTAGTGGAGATCATGCCGGACCACCGCAGACTCGTTCATGTTCCCGAAGAATGTCTGGGGGGGAGAGAGGGAGGAGGAGGAGAGCCCTGAGAAGGTTAATAACGGAGTCTGTACCCCTCACAGTCCTACAGGCACCATCCCCTACCCTCCACCTGCTGACCCCACCCTAGGGCCACCTGGTGGACAGGGAGGCACTGAAATTAGGGACTAGGAACACCGAAATGTTTTCCTCTGGACAACTCACTGCCTTTCTTCTCCCACCACCCATACCGAATTGTGCCCTCGCTGGTAAAAAGGCGTCCAGCTGTCCACACGGTCGCCATAAAGTAGCATATAGCGTGTGACCCAATCCCATGAGTTGAAGGCTCCCTGCGTGGCCACAGCCCTTATCTTATGTTTCTTCATCAGGTCAATTTGTAACCAGGGGTTCCGGTCCCCAACGGCAGGCGACCATCCACTTGTGCCTGCAGACCCCAAGAAAATGCATGTCACATACCAGGAGGCCACCTGATACCCGCCCAACTCCACTCAGGGAGATTTCCCACACACGCACTTAGGTGTCTTGCATGCGCTAGAGATTCCGTGTCCCCGAGCCCCGGTACTCCTCACCATGGAGCCGGGCGAAGCGGGGCCCAGTGAAAAAGCCGTAATAGGAGGAGGCTCCCAGCGAGCGAGAATACAGCGAGGCCACCAATTCCTCATCACAGCCATCTGGGGACCCGGAGATCAGAGGCGGTCAGTGTCGGCCCACCACTACCATACCGAGTTTTCTCCTTTCAGTCGGTGCCTTTTCCTTCCTCCCCTTGTGCTGCTTCCCCAAGGGTCAGAGAGTCCCCCACCTCCCTGCGTTCAGAGCCAGTCTGAGACCGGAGCCCTATCCGCCTGCCCCACCCTACACTGATCTCTGCTGCAGCAGAATCCCTACAGCCTAGGAGGATTAACAGTCATCTGGCTTCCCAATCAGACCTGACACCCAGGACCAGAGAGCTCCAGAACTCGGGGGAGGTTGGGAGCTAGGGGAAAGGGTAGAGAAAGAGAAGGGAGGGGTGCGAAAGAACTGGGGTCCTTGTCTCGGAGCTGCATTGCGGAAGCACTGGGAAAGGGAGAGAGAGGGGGAAGGCATGAGGGAAAAGGACCCGAAACTGGGAAGGAGGCTCAAGAAATCCCTTCTATACTATCGGCACGCCACCACCATTCTTCAACCGCAATGCGGCTGGATTCCAGACCCGCCCGCCAGCATCCTTCGGTTGCTGGTTGCTGGTCCTCCCTGCACCTCCTCCCGGCCCGATACTCACACCAGCCCCAGGCTCTGGCTCCAGTGACTGCTGCAAGCAGAATGCAGAGCAACGGGGTGCCCATGGTGCCCAGAAGGGCCCTGGGCTCTGCCCAGCTCTCAGTTGTTCCCTTGCGATTTTTAAGGGTCCGTAGTCTTCTCTCCTATTCTCCCTTCTTCTCCCCTTCTCCCTCTCTCTTGATTTCTGTCCCTTTTTTTGCCCACCCTCACCTCTCTCCCCCCTCCCAGCCTTTCCCTGTCTTCTCCTCTTACATCCCCCAGCCTCCCCCGCCCGGTTCGCGTCCCCACATCACGCGCCGCTTCCCAGGACCCCGCGCGCGCGCACGCAACACGGACAAGCGGGAAATGGGATGAGGCAGGGCTAGGGGAGCTGATGCGGGGAAATCTCTGACGGTAACAATACAGAGAAAAACAGAAAGATCAGGGAAAATAGGGGAATTGGAAAATAGGGGAAGCTGTAGGAGAGAGCTTCATCCCTGTTAAAGTACAGTGCATTAGACTCTGAAGAGAACAGTAATAGCTGAATTCATAGCACTTTCCTGAAGAATAATTTGGAGGGGGCAAAACCTGGGAAATAGAGGCAGGGGACATACAATGTTAGGAGGCTCAGAGAAAAGGCGGGATGGAGGTGGGGGGACAAGGGGTTAGGATTGGAAGGAGGACAGGATGCCAGTATCAGGGACAGGAAGGGGAGGAGGGGGAGTGGAGAAAGCAGAGGAAAGGGGGATAGAGAGGAGAGAGATGGGGACAACAGGACCAAAGGGCCCCTAATCTTTAGCCTCTCCGCCCTCACCTCACCCTCACTCTCCGCCCCTTCCTTCCTGTCCCACAAGTTTTAACTTCTCCCCCAACCAGACCACCTCGGAAACCGGTTTCGCGGGGAGATGGGGACTGAACCACTGGAACAGGTGGGACTCGGGGTGAGACTAGAGGGATGGAAATGGGGGTTGGGTTGGGGCATGCAAAGGATCAGAGGTTAGTTATCAGTGCCCCCAGCGCTGCTCAGCTCGGCAGGAGCTGCCAATACTTCTTTTCTTGTCACTGCCTCCTGATCCTGGACACCAGTATTGCTTTCAGACATTTGAACCATCTAGATCTAAGAGATATAAGAAGGTGAGAGGGACTACTGAACCTTGATCAAGACAGTAGTTAGGTATCAGAAGAGCCTGAGCCCTGGGAATCCCCTAACGTTTTGGTCAAGTTATTCCCAGGAGAAAATCAGGCCAAGAGTGGTTAGCACAGCTGTCTTGGGGGTAGGGCGAGGGGAGGAGCATAAAGACAGGCAAAGAAAACCGGAGACAAAAACACTCCACCCCCTCCAAGACCACAGTGAGGCTCCAGCCTGGTATCTAATGAGTAACCAGAATTATTGGCCCCCCACCAAGAAAGGAGATAGAACATTAAGCCAAATCAACAAATGCTAATTGAGCCACATTTGCTCCAGAGCCTTAAGTATCTAGACACGCTCACCCAGTGGTCTGGCATAGGGAGCTCTGTTTTGGGCTAGTTTTGAGAAGAATATCCTAATACTGCCCCTAGTTAACAATGTGTTAGGTGCAACTCTTAGGAGCTAGCAAATGTGTTGGGGGAGTGAGTCTTATCGGATCTATCCCTATCTCCTCCCTTTCTTCCCTAGGTCACCTGGTCGACCCTCTACTCTGGGGATAGTGACGATGTCTACCCTTCAGTGACTCTACCAGAACTCTGCCATAAGGCTGATGTCCAGTCTTTCAGCAGGGCCTTTCAGCCAAGTATCTCTCTCACAGTAGCTGCCTTTGGCCTGGCAGGCAATGGCCTTGTCTTGGCCACCCACCTCGCTGCCCACCGAGCAGCCCGCTCACCAACCTCAGCTCATTTACTCCAGCTGGCCTTGGCAGATCTACTTCTGGCATTGACCTTGCCCTTCGCAGCAGCCGGAGCTCTGCAAGGATGGACACTGGGCAGTATTCTCTGCCGAACAGTCTCAGGCCTCTACTCCGCCTCCTTCCATGCAGGCTTCCTTTTCTTAGCTTGCATAAGTGCTGATCGCTACGTGGCCATAGCTCAGGCTTCCCCAGGGGGCCACAGGCCCCCAGCTCCTGGGAGGACCCATGTGGTCTCCGCAGCAATCTGGCTGCTTTCCCTGCTCCTGGCGCTGCCCTCTCTCCTCTATGGCCAAGATGGGCATCGAGATGGGCAAAGGCGATGCCGACTGGTATTTCCTGAGGGTCTGACCCAGGCAGTCAAGGGGGCCAGCGCCGTAGCCCAGGTGATCCTGGGCTTTGCGCTGCCCCTCGCAGTCATGGTGGCCTGTTACGCCCTGTTGGGCCGGACACTGTTAGCCGCCAGAGGGCCAGAACGTCGCCGAGCCCTGCGCGTTGTGGTGGCCTTGGTGGTGGCTTTCGTGGTCCTGCAGTTACCCTACAGCCTAGCCTTGTTGTTGGACACCACAGACCTGCTGACTGCCAGAGAGCGAAGTTGTTCAGCTAGCAAGCGCAAGGATATGGCACTGTTGGTGACCGGTGGTCTGGCCCTTGCTCGTTGTGGCCTCAATCCTGTACTCTACGCCTTCCTAGGGCTTCGCTTTCGCCAGGACCTCAGGAGATTGCTTCGAGGTGGGTGCTTCCGACACAGATCCAGTCAACGAGGCCGCTGCCCTCGCCGACCCCGTCTTTCTTCATGCTCAGCTCCCACAGAGACCCACAGCCTCTCCTTTTAGTGGACTTTTGTTCTTAAGGAACTGGGGATGTATATATAGGGATGGAGAATAGAGCAGGAGATTGGATGGGACTGGGGAAAGGAAGACGATACAGGAGAGGATGGAGAGACAGGAAGGAATTGAAGGGAATTTCTTCTGTTTGTTTGGAGATTAAAATTAAAATTTAAACTTGATTTAGCGCAAGATTACCTGAAAATTAGATGCAATCAACAACTATTCATTGAACAACTTAGAAATGACTGGCTGGCAGGTTAATGCCCCGCCCCTCTCCTTTCACGCCCTGTGCAGAAAGGCACTGGGAGGCTAGGTGTAAATTCCCGAGAGAAACAGTTGATGTGGGGTGGAAACTGCAATGAGAGAGGGAGAGAAGGCAGATTACTTCGTACAGAAAACAAAGTAGTAAAGAAAACAAGTTTAAACCAAGCAGTTTGCAGTTAGGGGCTTTCAAGTCTCTAGAATAGATTGCCTCATAGACTATCTGAGCTGTAAAGGGTCTTCCACTCTCATTTCACAGAGAAGCAAATTGAGATACAGACAGGAAAGTGACCTGCCTCGGGGGCCGGAGTTCCCGCGGCCCTTTCTCCATCTTTTCTGCACACAGGGCCGGAGGAAACGGGATGAGCCTGCAGGAGAGAGGAAGAACTTCCTGACTATTAAGGGTAGAAAGTCTGGAAAGGGGAGGGGAAGAGTGAGGGGTGTGTCCATCCCAGGAGACCACCTTCTGTCTGTCCAAGCTAGGGAGGGATCTCTTTGGTGGAGGTCAGTCGCTGACCTCTGGGGAAAGTCCCTTTAAATCCTGCTCTTTCTAACCAGAGGCAAACCTCCAAGGCACACGTGACCGACCCCAAGGGTATTTTTTCACAGCCTAGGGCTGAGCCTGCTCTCAACAGTGGACGGAGGAGGGGCGGGGTGGGGTCTGGGCGGAGCCCCGGCAGAGCCCCTCCCCAGTGTGCCTTCTTAACTCCGGCGGGTCTATCTTCTTGGGACCCCCTGCGGCCCTATTGGAGCCTGGATCTGGGAAACCGCTCCAAGTTCGGCCTCAGTCTCCTCCAGGGGCCGCGAGGGAGAGGGAGAGAGATGGGGGGAGGCGGCGCTGATTCCCAGGGAGGGCATAACACTCCAGCCGCTGGGGACTCGAGTCCCGAACCCTTCACCCAGAGACTGCGGGAAGCGCTGCTGAGTCAGCAGCGCGCGCTCCCGACCCTCCGCCTGTGCACGCCCGGACTCTCTCTGGGCCCCTCCCTCAGAATCCTTGCCTTCCCCTTCTCCCGACCGAGCGACTTGGTTAACTCCTTCCTACCCTGGACCGCATGAGGCTGGAGGAGGAGGCTGAATGGGTGTCAGGGATGGGAGTAGAGATGGGGGAGGGGGTAGGGAAGTAATTCTTACACCTAGCCTAGACCTCCCGGGCTCCCTCCCATCCAGGATACAACTTCCCAGCTCGAGTTTTGGGGGAAGTTTTGAGCTCGAAAACTGTAATTCCTATTCTTGCCCTCCGTGGACTAAGTGCTTGCCTCAGTTTCCCCCCCACCCGCCCCGGAAAGGAGGTTGGCCCGGGTAGAGAGTAACAAGTTTTCTTCCTTCTACAGAAGATCGAGGAAAATACCCTTTCCACTTAGGCCGGGCCGAGTCCCGAGAAAACTTTCCCACACCTGCCCCTGGGACCAAGGCTCAGATCTCGTAGGACCAGAAAAAAGTACCCTGAACTCCCTCTATACTATCTATCTTTTCTCGCCCCAAGCACCTTGTCCCCCTGCCACTGGAGAATCTGCTTCAAGAAGATCCTTCTTCCAGGATTTTTTTCAGCCTGTCATTTTATTTTTTTATTTAAAAATTTCCATGAAAAAAACTCCCTCCCACCTCCCCTCCTCCACTGAAAAAGAAAAACTCTTATAACAAGTATGCATAATGAAAAATATGCATAAACTAATTCCTCATTGGCCATGTCCAAAAAATACATATCTCAATCTACACCCTGAGTCCATCACTTTTCGCGCCTCCTCGTCAAGTTTAAGCTCTTTGGGAAGGAACTTAAAGGGTTAAAAGCAGAGCGTGGAGGCGGGGCTGTCTTGGCGTCTAACACCCCCCTCTGGACCTCAGAGACCGGGGCGTGGTTAACATCTCTTCGCTCCTTCTCTCCCTCGCCTTAGCCCGCCCCTCCTGGCTGTCACTAAGCCAGGGGGCACATGATGCAACCCGCCGCTACCTCCATTACCCAATTGGCTGAAGCTCCCGGCGCCAGGCACTGGAATTGGTTAAAAGAGGCTGTGACGACAGGCAGACCCTGCCTTGTTCTGGGAGAGGGGAGGGGAGAAAAAAGAAGGGAAGGGGGGGCGGCAAAAAGAATCGCGCGGGGGGGGGCGGAGCCCAGGCACTGAGCTCGCGCCCCCCGCGCGCCAGTCCCGGGGCTGCAGGGAGCGCAGCGAGCGCGGCCCGGGCCCCGGACACCGGACGCTGCACCGGACACGACCCTCCCTGGAGCTTGGATAACTGCCCACTTTGGACACCGCACCGGACACTGCCCCCCACTGGGCCGGACACTACAACGGACACTACTTCCCAGCCCCGGACATTGCTACCTCCTACCCCCCGGCCTGGAGTGTGTCCCCCCCAACAGGCCCCAGACACTGAATCTCCCTCAGGCTCTGGATAGAGTCCTACTGCACCCTAGCCTCAGACCCTGCCCTATACCTCCGCTTCTCCTGGCCCCGCACGCTGCCTCCTTCTTTCTTGGCCCAAGTCCCGCGACCTGACTGTTTCCGCGACTCCCCACCCCCAACCATCCTCTCCTCCTGCGGCTCGACGCAGCCGCCTGCCTCCCCAAGCTCCCTGCTGTCCGGATGCCTCTCCCGGGGGGGCTCTGGTGGCTCCTTTGCTGCCGTCGGGGCTTCACTCTACTGCGGAGGGACTACGGGGACGGAGAGCTTGGCGGCGACGTGGACGAGGACGAAGACGAGGAGACCTTTGAGCTTCGGTCCCCGGGTTCGGTGAGCTGCGGGAGGGTAAGTTCGGGAGGCCTGCAGTTCTATTCTTTCTTTCTAGCCGGGCGTCTTTCCCTACTCCTCCAGACCCTTGTGCTATCCCCGTCCCTTTGAGAGGCCAAAGTGGGCGGGGGAAGGGAATCTTCTCTCCCAGCCCTAGGGTTTCTCTCCTCTTTCCCTCTCAGGGGGCAGAGGGGCAACCCCAAGGCGGGACCTTCCTGACGGCCCCACGCGGCACTCTGGGGCGCTGTCCACCTGCTGGGGCCCAGAGGCAGGGGAGGTGTCACGCGTGGCCCTGCCTGGCCCGGCCTCTCCCTTCTCCTCCTGGCCCGCGTCCCGTCCCGTCTCCTTCCGCCTCCGCCAGCACAGAGGAATGTGGAGAGTCCGGCTGGGCGACTCGGACTCCTGAGTCCGCTCCGCTCCCTGACTGTCAGGGCTGGGGCCAGAGGCAGCAATTCCTTTGGGGGAACTAGGCGGGGTAGGAGGGAACCTGAGATTGAGTTTTGTGTTATGGGTTAGGGTCCCTAATGTCGTGGACCCTTGAACACTCTTCGTCCACCCAGTACAGAGCTTTCCTTCCCTCCCCCCCACCCCGGGTGAGCCAATGGAAAACCTCCAGGGAATGAGGGAACACTCACTTGACTCTCCCCACGTGGGGAAACTGAGGCAAGGAGTGGGTAGGCTCTGAACCTTCACTCCTATACCACGGACATAAACCAAGAGTCTTCCTTGTACAATGGGGGTCCGAGCAGTCTTTCCGATTCTCCTCAGTGTTTCCTTCCCACCCGCCCTGGGGTCCCCGGCAGGCCCGGTGGCTGAGTGCCCGGGTGGGGCGGGTTGCACCGCGGGGCCGGCGCCAGCACCTGGCGGAGGCGGAGGGAGGATAAATATAGAGGGGCGGGGAGTGACAGGGAGTGGAGAGGGAAGAGAGAAGAGAGGGAGAGAGAGAGAGAGAGGGAGAGAGAGAGAGAGAGAGAGAGAGAGAGAGGTTGCTAACTGAGGGCAAGGTTATGCTTTGCTCCCCAAAAGTCGGGACTGAGATACCCACCCAGAACTTTAAAAGGACAGGGTCCTCCTAGAAGGAGAAAGCACCTAAGCAATCTCAGAGGAACCAAGTCCCCAGGCCCTGATAGGGTCGTCTCTCTTCGCCTCACCACCCTCCACCCCCTAGAGCTCTGGGGACAGGTGTCCCAGGTCCCCCTCCCAACCCCTCTCCGTCGCCCTTTCCCCCTCCCTCTTTTCTTTCGCTGCTGCCCGGCCCGGGGCGCACTGGTACCGTGGCGCGGTTCCTGCTTGGCGAGGTTCCCGGGAGGGTTTATGGACTCTTTCTTGAGCCCCTGTCTTGACAGAAGCGCCTGGAAACTGGTGGACAACCGGGGAAAGTGTCCAGGACCGGTGAGCTAGAAGCCCAGGCTCATCAGAAGGGAAAGGGGACTACTAGTGTCTCACCCAAATGCGCGCGGTCCTCTAAGGTGCCCGCAGTAGAGGAACTCTTCCCAGTCCTGAGCCCTGGGTGGGAAATTAAGGAAAGCTAGAAGCCTTATTTAAAGGAGTCCCCTTTCCCCTTGTCTGTCTTCTTCCTTTCCCTGAGGTTGACCAGCTGCTTACAACGACCTGTTCAGAGGGAGGGAAGGGAAGATCGGTAATGGGATAATTGAATATGTTTTAGAAGGGTAAAGAGTAGAGTGGGCTAAGCTTTCTTTTTATTGTGCCACTCCAGACCCCACGACTGTAGCACATTCTGACTGAAGGGAGGGGGGAAGTAGAGGAGCTCCATTTCCGGACTACTCGGGGAGAAGCGATACCCCCGGACTTCTCGTTGATTAATCTCTTAGCTTGTGGAGCCTCTGAGGCAAAGTCTAGGGATGCTGTGTAGCCAGGCCTCTGATCCTTCGGCATCTCTTTCCCACTGCTGCAGGGCCCACTGGAGGTGACGCTAACACAGCCCGGAAGAAGCGGGCCAGGCTCGGACAGGTAAGCGTATTCCTTTCTCACAGTCCTCCCATTTTATCTTTCCAAGGTCTCTGATCCCCGAGACCCCCATTCCTCTTAGTCCTCACCCTCCCACCGGGTTAGGCAATAAGGAAACAGCTCCAAGCCGGACGCTGTGGTTTGGCTGGGGTCCGGGAGGGGGGTGGTAGTAAGGGAGGCGGTCTGGCGGGGGATATAGAAAGGAGGGCTGGTGGTCTGAGCTATTTTTGGAGCGAGGTCAGAACTGCTTAGCGGTTCCCACAGGCTGGGAGGGGAGGGACTCAGATTGAGACATTGCTTTCTCCGCCCCCTCCCCCCCTCCCGCCCCCACTACGGGAATTCCAGATTTTTTTCTTGCCAAGGGAACACTGAGTCTGAAAGGGTTCTGATTGGATTAGGTGCGACCTCTTTCTGAGAGATGGGAGTTCCTCAGACCTACTAGTTGCTCCCTTCACCTTCCTTAGGCTGCAGGGTTCCGAGGAAACGAGAAGCCTTATACCCCAGCGAGGTCCCCCTGAAGAGGAGCCTGACGTCATTGTCAAAGGTGGGGGATCCCCTCCATCAGTCGGAACCCCCACTTAAACACTCCCAACTCTGAACTTTCAACACACCCACCAGTGAATTCCCATCTTTCTGATTTCTCTTCTTTCTTTTCTTCCCTTCCCACCAGGTTGGCTGCAGCGGGAGCCTCGGGGAGGCAGCGCCCGGCCCTGGCTGCCCCCCCGCAGGGCCTGGTTCGTGCTCACTCGTGACTCCTTGGACCAGTTCAGTGGGAGCGGAAGCGGGGCCCGGCGGCTGGGGAGCCTGGTATTGACCAGCCTGTGTTCTGTGTCGGGCCCTGAGCGAAAGCCCAAAGAAACTGGTGAGACCCTTAGGACAGATACTTTCTGCCTACCAAACAACTTTCTCCTTTCCCTAGGGACCCTTCCCTCTTAGCCCTGTACACTTCCATCATAGCTCCCCAGCACTCCTCGATGAAGGGTGAATGGGTGATCTTTCTTTGCCCTTCTTTCTCAGGCCTCTGGTCAGTAACAGTGTCAGGCCGCAAACACAGTGTCCGACTCTGCTCTTCTCGGCTAGCCGAGGCTGCCCGCTGGGGTGCAGCACTTCGGAGCGTGATTGCTGGGAAGGCGCCCCTAGAGACCCCTACCCAGCTCCTACTTCGGGATATTCAGGTATGGGAGAATCTGGATAAGAGTCTGGTATGTTGTCATACCAGAGCGATAGCAGGTCATCGTGGTCAAAAAGAGAGATTAGGGAAAGGTCAAAATGACCCCCCCCATCCCGCACCCATCCAGTGATCCATTTCTTTCTCCAATCCCCCAGGAGAGTGGCGGAGACTCTGAGGCTGTGGCCCTGATTTATCGTCGGAATCCGATCCTGAGGCACACAAGCAGCGCCCTTTATGCCCCACTCCTGCCTCTGCCCTATGGGGTTGGCCCTCCAGGTGAACAGTTTAGGGCTTCAAGGTGTTCGAGACAAGGAAATATGACCCCCCCCCAAAAAAACGATGGCACTCCACAATTGGGGCACTAAGAATGGAAATAAATGAACATCCCTGGAAAAGAGAAGTTGCAAAGCATAATGGAAAACTCTGGCCTTGAAGTTCAAATTTTGACTACTAACACTTCTTACCTGTGTTGTCCATGGGCAAGTCACTACTCTCAGCTCCAGTTTCCTCATCTGTAAAATGAGGATGATAGTACTTTCTATGCCTAACTCACAGGAAAATGCTTTGCAAATATTGCATTATTATCATTGTTACAGTTCACTGGGAATGATTGATTTCTCTTAGGGTATCATCCCCCCTTCCCCAGTCCTATATAGTTTGTTCCAGACTTCACCCTGCATTCCTTTGGACCCCTTGTTTCTCCTCCTGTAAGTCCCCAAGCTCAGTCTGAACCACCTTCAACTCCCCTCCCCCAACCCTCATCACTTCCCCACCAGGTCCGGGCTACGCGCCACTTCGAGAGGAGGCTGTAAGGCTGTTCTTGGCCCTGCAGGCCCTAGAGGGGGCGCGGCGCCCGGGGCCTCTAATGCAGGGCGTGCTCCAGACGTGCCGAGACCTGCCGGCGCTCCGAGACGAACTCTTCTTGCAGCTGGCCAAGCAGACTTCAGGCCCTGCAGGGCCCCCAGAGTCCCCCGCCCCTAACAGCCCGGCTGCCCTGCGATACTGGCAGCTACTCTGCTGCATGAGCTGCACCTTCCGGCCTGGGGGGGCCGTTCGGGGGCATCTGCTGGGGCACCTAGAGAGGTGAGAGCAGAAGAAGGTGATTGAGGATAGGTCAGGGCAGCCAGAAAATGATGGGTACTATGGAGGTACAATGAGGGGTGAATGGAAGGGGACCGTTAAGGTCGGGGCACTCAGCCAATCTTAGAACAAGAATCTAGCCCCCCGTAATTGTGTCATATTAAGGTGTGGGAAATGTGGAGGAGAGTGTCAGGAAAGGAAAGTTGGGAAAAGCAGAGGGAGAGAAAGGGGACAGGAAGTTTAGAGAAAACAGGAATGTCCAGGATGAGAGAAGACCATGAGGGTTGCAGGCTGGAGGGCACAGAATGGAGGAGGGGTCCCCATAGACAAGGAAGGGATACCTGCTAGTGCTCTGAGCCTGAATAACCTTCCCAGGACAGAGAAAGCATTCCCTGACACCGAGCTGGCTGAGTATACACGTTTCATCAGGAAGGCTCTGGGGCGCACTCGGGGCAGGGAGCTGGTGCCGTCTTTGGCAGAGATCTCAGCTCTCAGCCAGCGTCAGGAGCTTCTATGTACTGTGCATTGTCCGGGAGCAGGAGCCTGCAGCGTTGCCATTGACTCACACACTACTGCTTCAGAGGTGAGTGTTGGGACAGCGTTCCAAGACTATGGACACTGTAATCCCCTTAGGCCAACGGGAAGCAGCCAGTTCAAGTTATACACTCATAAAGTGCCAGACTGGAAGGAACCTTAGAGGCCATCTAGACTAAGAGTTCTAAACCTGGGGTCAGCTGAATAGATTTTTAAGATTTTGGTTCTACCACTGTAAGTCAGGACTCTCTCTTCTCAGTCTGTCTTGTGTATCTCTCTATCTGTCTGTCTCTCTCTTTGTCTCTGTCTGAAAAAATGGAGGAAATTTGTACTAAATTACTTTTAAGGTCCTTTCCAGGTATAAATCTATGAACTTACGGCTTTTCACATCACTATTTCCCCTTGACAGTCAGGTGACCCTAGGACTTCTGACCTCTGAGATTGGGGCGGTTAGGTGAAGTGAAGAAAGAAAAGTTCCGTCTCTGCCTCTTAAGTAATTTGTGTGACCCTGGTCTAGTCACTTAACTTTTCTGGGGTCTCAGTTTATTAAGGGTAAGACATTCGCCCACCCCTCTTCGCCTGCCTTACCCCCCACCAGGTGGCTCGGGAGCTCGTGGGGAGGCTAGGCTTGGCTCGGAGCCGAAACGCGTTCGCGCTCTACGAGCAGAGGGGTTCCCAGGAGCGGGCCCTGGCAGGAGGGGCCCTAGTGGCTGACGTGCTCACCAGGTTTGAGAAGTAAATGTCCAGTGCTTGTTCTAGCTTCTGCCTTTTCCCGTCCTCGCCTCTCCGCCCAATCACAACCTTCCCTTCCCCACCCCCGCCTTCCGGTGGACCACACCCTTTTCGAAACCACTCCTTCAATTTCACATTTACCCCACCCCCTTCCAATTCAGGCTCCTCCCCTCGTCCTACTCCTGGCTTTGTTCCTTTGAGCTACTGGGGTCGTCCGGACTCCTCCGCCTAAGCCCTTGGTTATCTGTTTCTCTGCTTCGCAGTCTGACTGCAGAGGAGGTAGAATCTTCAGATTCGGGCTGGAGGCTGTGTTTGCGTCTACACGGACCTCTGCATCCCGAGGGGCTGCCTCCAGACGGGCATGAACTACCTTTCCTATTTGAGCAGGTGTGGATCCCTGACTATTGGCATCGTTCGCGTGAGCGTGCGTGCTGGCGAGGACACACACACACACACACACACACACACACACACACACACACACACATATCACAAACACAACAATAAATCCTTCCCTAAGTTGCCCTTTAGCTGGCTGTCCATTATGCCCAAGGGTCACTCCTGCTATGCTTTGCTTCTTGGGCTCCCTCTGCCTCCTAGATGTCCCGTTATTCCCCCATCCCCAAATTGTCTTCACCATCCCCCTCACGGTGTCACCTCTACAGGCCCACGCTCTGCTGTTGCGGGGCCGGCCGCCCCCGCCCGAGGACACGCTGAGGGCCTTGGCCGCCCTGCGCCTACAAAGTCTACACCGTGACTTCTCACCTCTGGCTCCTCTTCCTCGTCTAGACCGCCTGTTGCCCGCTTCAGCCCTGACCCGAGAGACCCCACCCCGCCCAGCCCCTAGAGCTCCTCCTACCGCCGCCCTGCTGGCCGGGGCGCTCTGGAGTCCAGGCTTAGCCAAGAGGAGGGCAGAGAGGGCCAGGCGTGGGGGCGCTGTCCGGAGTGGGGGTCCCGGGGCCCGCGATGGGGGAGGCGCTGGGGCTGCTGCGGCTGTCCTGGGAGGGTGGAAGCAGCTTCGGGGAATGGGCCAAGCTGAGGCGATGGCGACCTACTTGGCTCTAGCTGCACAGTGTCCAGGTTTCGGTGCTGCCCGGTATGACGTCCTGGAACTGAGCACGGTGAGAAGAGAGGGCGGAGAAAATTCCTGAAATTCACCCAAATCTCTTCTACTTTTTTCACGACTCCCGCTTTCCCACCAGAGTCCCACGGGTGCCCAGTACCTGCTTTCTAGGGATTCCCTTTCCTTCATAAAAGGTCGGAGGACGAGCAAAAAGGCCTCTGTCCCCAGAATACTACTGTCCTTGGGTACCCACCCTCCTATAGGAGCCCTCTCGATTTGGATGGGGATTACTTCCTCCTCGGATCTGTCACCTTCTAAACACAGCCATTTTCCTGCTCCTTCCCCAACTGAAGAGTTCCCTCCTCCTTGACTTTATTCCTTTCTTTTGTCCACCAGGAGACAGGGGGTGGTGTCCCGCAGCAGCTCTGCCTTGGTGTGGGGGCCAAGACCATGTCCTTATCTCGACCAGGAGAGACTGAGCCCATCCACAGTGTCAGCTATGGTCATGTGGCTGCCTGCCAGCTAACTGGGCCACACACTCTGGCACTAAAGGTTGGGGACAGCCAACTGCTCCTACAGAGCCCCCAGGTAAACTGGAAGTGGAAAGATAAAAGGGATGTAAAGGTAGCCAAGATAGGGGTACAGAAAGATGGGAGTGATGACCTACCTAGATGTTTAATGTCCTTCACTTTCTAATTTTCTCAAGGTGGAAGAGATCGTGCACCTAGTGAACGCCTACCTGGCTAGCTCCACTCCTGACAGATCCTGCAACGTTGTCACCCCGCTAGAGCTGCCAAACACACCGTCCCCTGTCAGCCAGAATCCAGGCCTTGATGACCACCAAGTATAATCTGGCTGTTTTGGTCATCAGCAGCTTCGAGACTCCTGCAGTGATGGAATCATGGCTTGCCCACAATGAACATCTATCACAAGTACTTGGGTTTTGGACTGCTCTGGAATTTTGAGAACCACTGACTCACCCTACCACATTCACTAGCCCTGCAGGGACAGGGCCCCCTTGTCATCTCCTTCCCCTGCACCCAGGGGCCAGGATTTTGACAGGCACGGACAATTTTCTAGTATGTTTCTTAATTTATTTGTAGAAGAAAAGAAAAAAATCTTTATTTACACAAAATCTTCCTGTGAGAGTGATGTCAGCAGCCCATGACTACCTTAGCATAAGCTGTGGCCCACAGTTACTCCCTTGGGATCAGGCCTCACCTCCCACCCCCATGTTCTGGCCTTTTGCCTGGAGCCTGGACACCACTGGGACACCACCCATCTTGACCTTCTGACTTTAACTGGGACAACCCAAGATGCTGCTCAAGGGTAGTGGGTGGAGCAATAGGGTAGTAACAGAAGCTGATAATTACTTCCTCTTCCCTTCTCCTTGTGGTGTGGGGGCGACATTTTGGCGTCTGTCAGGCTGGAGGGAGGATGAGTCACTAGCATTGACACTTTCAAATTCCTGCACAGGTGTCCGGTCTCTGCCCATAACCTGTGATCATGACTAGCATCCCTGCTGGACCATCTCTAGCACCTCTGATCTCTCCTTATTAGAAAGAAGGTCAGGGCAGTATTAACACCATATGCTGAAGGGAAGCACTCTAGATTGGGAAGGAGTGTCAAAGCCACGGATGGGGACACAGTGGGTAGCCCCATCAATGAAAGGAAGTCTGCTTAGTGTGTGGTCAGCCTTTCTCCCTTTGTTGTTCAGTTGTGTTCAAGTCTTCATGGTCCCATTTGGGGTTGCCATTTCTTGGCAAAGGTACTGGAGTGACTTGCCATTTCCTTCTCCAGCTTATTTGACAGATGAGGAAATTGAGGCAGAGTTAAATGACTTGCCCAGGGTCATACAGCTAGTAAGTGTCTGAGGCCAGATTTGGCCAGTCTTCCTAACTCCAGGCCTGGAACTCTATGCACTGTGCCATATGCCTGTTCCTTTCTCCCCTTATTCCTTGGTAATTCAAAGGCAGGAGTCTTTAGAAAGGAAGGAGATACCCTAGTCTGTTTGCTTGCCTAGAGTTTGAAGATCAAATAGAGGTGAACTCAGCGGGCTGCCTTTTACTTAACCTATTCTCCCTTACTCCCACATTGTCCACATCCTCATCCCCACAGAATCAATGGCTTATAGAATTTCTAGTTAGAGCGAACCTTGAGAACTTGACATATAAAGATCAATTTAAAAAATTCTGAGGATGCGGAGCCTGGAGAAGAAGCTGAAAGGTTAGGGAGAGTTTTGGGTACTTGAAAGGCTTTCTTGTAAAAGAAGGATTAAATTTGTTCTGTTATGACCTCAGAAGGTACAAATAGGAGCAGACGATAGAAACTGCAGAGGCAAATTAGGTTTGACATAAAATAAAACTTCCTAACAATTGTAGCTATCCAAAAGTGGAATGGGCCATATCAAAAGGTAGGGTATACCCCTCATTAGAAGTCTTCAGCCAAAGGCTGGATGAATATTTGTTGGTTATACTCTAGTGGGGATTGTTGTTTGAAGGCTAGACTAGATGTCAATAGAGCTGCCCTCTATCTCTTAAAAAAAAAATTCTAGGCTTGGTCAAGGCTAGTTCTATGTTACATATAAGAAGAAACTGAGGCTTAGAAAAGGAAAGTAACTTGCCCAACCTCACCCAGAGTTTAGATTCAAATAGTGACCTGAATACAAACCCAATGCTTATCCATGACAGATAAGGCAGGACCCAAAGACCCCTCCTGCAAAGCTCATGGATGGACACCTCATAGTTCTCATTTAGTGTTTTATTGGAGATGGTCAACACAGAAAGAGACTACATAATTGTACTGTTAGGTTTTTCTCGTGTTCATCCTTAAGGGGGAAGGGTGTGGTGAATGGAGAAAGCTGATGTGTCCATGCTGGAGCTCAAGATCTCAGAGAGGATCAAAGGGAGACTAGATCACAATGACACAAATGCTAAAATCTGTGAAATGTGGAATAGTCAGGAAATCACTGCTCCTGCGTGCCCCAGGAGATGTAGTCGGGCCTGGTGGCAGCATGATACTCGTCAATGAGCTGCTGCACAATCTCCCTCGATGTGTCCAGCTCATCAAAGTTCTCCTTGAAGATGTCCTCCTTTCGGAACTGCTCCAGGAAGGCCTCTCGCTTCCGAAGTTTATCGTACTGGTGGCATGTGCTCTCAAACAGCTGGGATGAGAAGTGGGAGAGGAAGGGGCACAGAGAGATAAGTGGACAGCACGGTCTTGATCTGGGAGGTTGGTGAGGGTGGAATTGAAGTCATTTTGTTCTCCCTTCTCCCATAATTTAGAAAGTAGTACCAGACACATTCAGGATGGGGGAGGGGAGGGGAGAAAGTCAGCTTGAAATAGACTAATGAGAGGGAACATGGGTATGGGCAGGGGGAGAGGGCTAGATTAGACTCACAGAAGAGATGCTGGTGTGGTTGGCCATCATGAGTCCACTGACTCGATGGGCAGATGGCAGATAAGGTGACTTCCGAGATAGTGCCACCTGGATGCTCGCTGGGCCCCAAGGGATAAAGTTAGCTAACTTTCGCTCCCGGATCCTTTGCAGGCTTTTGTGGACCTGTGGCATAAATGGGGGAGAATCAAGGTATGAGGGAGGTACTTTCAATTGCTGGTCTTAGCCCCTGAATATCTCAAAGGTCCTGAGACTCTTCCTTAACTCTATGCAGTATCAGGTTGGGGAGGGTTGTTTAGGTGGGGGAAATTACCCACCTGGGTGGGGTCCACCTCTCCCTGGATGATGTTGAGGATGGCAATGTAGCAGTGGTTGGTCTGGCGATCCCTGCCAGTGGACACCATCACATTCTTGGGCTGCAGCAGCCGACGCATCACATCCAGCACTGTTGTCTTCCTCACGCTGGCCACCTGAAGGAAGAGGCTGTAAGGGACCATTCTAGGAAGACATGGGGCTGGCCAGGAAGAGTCCAGTACAGTCTGTACAAAGCTACAGACTAAAGTGAGAGTTCCTGTGACCTGCCCCAACCCTCTCCCCCCCAGGCCCAGCCCAGAATACATATCTAGTGATAGGAGGCTCAGACCTCAGGACTGGGAAGGTGGACTCAGTCAAAACCCAATGTCTTCAATTTGTCCTGTGGCTCAGTATTAGTGAATAATATCAGAGGCAGCTAGGTATCATAGCAGATAGAGCACTGGACCTAGAGTCTGGAAGACCTGAGTTCAAATTCAACCTAATCACTTACTAGCTGAGTGACCCATGGCAAGTCATTTAACCTCTCTCTAAGTATCAGTTTTCTCAACTGTAAAATGGGGATAATAATACTACCTACCTCCCAGGGTTGTTGTGAGAATCAAATGAGATATTTATAAAGTACTTAGCACAGATCCTTAGTAAGTGCCGATTTCCTTCCTAATAATACTGTAGGATAATAGATTTAGAGCTGGAACCTTAACTTTACAGCTGAAAAAACTGAGGCCCACTATGGTTAAAAGACTTGCCCGATGTTACACAGACACTAAGTAACAGAGACAAGATTTGAACCTGTGTTTTTTCTACTGTACCTCGGATATCCAGAGGACAACCATCTACTGGGGCTAGACTACCTACGGTTGGTGCTGTAGGCCAGGAATGGGAGTCAGGCATATGGAAAAGATTCAGTTCTCCTCAGCCCAAGGTCTGAGACTCAAAAACTAGAAGGGAAAAGACAAACTCCAGTGTAGCCCTTCTGCCTGCCAGGGAGGAAAAATGTGGAAGGGATGGGAAGAGAGAGAGAGAATCACACACTTTATTCCAAGCTTTGAGCCCTTAGCCTCTGGGGTCTGCTTCCAGAGGCAGGGGTCAGGGCACACAGCAGGGAGAACAGTAGTGGTCATGCCCATTCAGTGTCTGCCTACTGGGCAATAATCCTGACCTACGGTGGGAAGGATGGGATCTGGAGGGGAGGGGGAGTCAAGATCGAGGGCAACTGCTTACAGATTGGTCAGTGGTGAGGGGGGTGTAGCCAGTCATGAGGAAGTGGAGCCTGGGTGTGGGGATAAGGGAGGCGATGAGGCCGATGAGGTCATTGTTCATGTAGCCAGGGTAGCGGAGGGTGGTGGTGCT